CGTTTTCTTTCGGGATTAATTTCAGAATGTCATTCTAATGATACAATATTTCATCTTGTTGAAGGCCATCTCTATCCTTGACTTTTACACTTGACTAGAACATTAACAACCGTCCCGTCAGTTTCAAGGGAGTTAGCCTCACCTGCAAATTTTGATTCTTCATATTTCACCATTATATAACTGCCTACTTGAATTTGAGAGATAAGATCTTCCTTTCCAGTGCTCTTATCAAAAGTGTTGTCGCCAGTGTCTGAATCACTGCTGATCTCCACTTCTTCATTTGACATTCTCTAATATCACACCTGGTCCTATCTCTTCATAACTCTTTCCAGGGGTTACATTCAGCCTCTTTCTCTTCTTAACTCTTGACCCCTGACTCTCATCATCAACTCCTCTCGTCCTTTTCAACAATCCCACAACTATAATAGATACCCATTCATTAATTTGTTTCGTGTCCACCGCTTCTTTACTATCTAGTAACCTTTGAAGGACAATGTCAGGACTGAAGGGCATAATTCCACATTTTCTGAAACCAGATATTATATTTTCACTTTGTAAGTCTTCAATTGGATAAAACAAGTCATATAGTTTAGTCGGGAGCATAGGAAAGCTGTCTTTATTTAATGTTCGTGAAGTATTCTTGCTGCTACTTTTCCAGTTGTCAATAACTTTTCTCCAATACCTTTTTAAAGGTCCATAAAATGCCACATGTAGTGGTTGGAGTAAGTGAGTTGAGTTGGCAAGAAGACAAATCTTATATCATTCTCATGAACTAGTTTAATAACCCTAGGTGTGAAGTGGCTACTTAAGTTGTCTACAATAACAACGTTAGGACCAAGCAAATTTTTAATGCCAGGTATCAAAATGCTTTCGAACCAGTCTGCAAAGCAGCAGGCATCAAATCAACCACTTATACTCCTATTATTACCTATTATGGCCTTTGGGGCCACCTTCTATCCATGTTGTCCAGATGTATTCTGCCTAATAGACTACATAACTAGGAAGCATTTTACCTGCAGCCGATCCACTAAACATAATAGGTATTGCAGTTTTACTGTTGTCCTTAATTCTCTCAGCATACTTAACGCCTCATTTCTTCACACCAGGGTAATCAGAACGATTTGTTTCATAGTTATATATGTGATAAGGGGTATAAAATCCCCTGATCTGTTAACGACTTCTTCAGTTCATCAAAATTACATTTTACTATTCTTGATCCTATACTGGACCTTGAACGCTTAACATTATGGCAAAATCTAAATGTGATTTCACCAGACTGTCGTTCAATGAGTGAATTAGCCCATTCCGCCGATGGGAAATTATTAATAAACTGTGTAACCTTTCGACCTTCAGAATCAAGGTAGTTTTATGCCAGTAATCTTGATGCTCACAATCCTTAATCCTTTGATTCTGTTTATATTCAAAGGGTAACACAAGGATTATTAAATGAAAATGTTTTGTTAGTACTTTCTATTTATTTCATAAAATTCATCAACATAAAAAATATCGTTTAGCTTTTAGGCCAAAAATATTGCCAAGAAAGATATTTAATGCAATTTAAAATTGTCAATTACCAGCAGATTGGGTTACTCTTGACAATTCTTAATTACTCCACTTTAGATTTTCCTTTTCAATAATGGTCGTTAGATCACAAGATCAACGCAGTTACCTTCAGGAAAGTCATTTTCAAAAACATGGCAGGAAAGTGTCTAGCGACTGTTTTTTTTTCTGTCTTGCATTCAAACGTTGCCTTGAAATAGTCGTGTCAACATTATTTAGTGAGAAGGTAAATGTAAAGAAAGAGTAACGAATAGAAAACTAGTCAATGAAAATGGAAGTTGGCAAATAAAGGTATCGATGTCCCATTGTCCCCGGAATAAGCCACATTTGGTACCATAAGCATGTCACTCAACACGCGATCCACCACGATTTTCCTGTGCTTATACAAAACATTATTATTGTTATAACTGGAATTTTAAAGGGATAGAGTCACCATTTTCAGGGGTTGACTTGGGTCTTGAATATATGTTAGTAGTCTTCATTAATACTAGAAATGTACGAAAATCGCACCATTCCTTCAAAAACACCTCATAATTGGAATTTCACTTTCTTTTCCTAAATATTCTATATGACATAGTCTTAAAAAAATGAATGGTCTTTGAAACGCGAATAGTTCTGGACACACATGGAGGTGGTTAGCTGTGAACACTATTACTCATTAGCTTAGCTAAAAAAAATTCCCGTTTCTGAGATTTAGGTTGGATTAGTCAAACGGGTGGCGAATCTGTCGATTTAAACATCATCCAAAATATAGGCCTAGGTATCTGGTGAATAGAAAAGTAATATTTATCGTAATTTATTAACATTTCGTCTAAGGTAACACCTTGGGGCCATTTTTCTGCAAAAAAATTTGAACACAAATCATAAGTATTTAGTACTAATTCTATTATACACACCAATGGGCATTGAGCTAACAAGAAAATAGATGTAACGGAAGTAAGTTCGTGGTAGTTACCCTTTAGTGACCTGATTAGACCACTTCCGTCAGGTGCGTCGAATATTAAATCAGCTACTGAGAATTATTTAATTTATTGTCTATCGTTAGGACTTACTGATTATCTTTCTAAATCCAATTCCTTCCATAACATGCTCAGCTCGAAGACCAGTTGGAAAATGGATATAATTGATAAGTGTCGTGACGATAACCTTCCGGCGCACCTTACTGCTCTTGACTTCGATACTGCTACGCTATCTCCTATAATAATATGTAACGTCCCCGTTGCCAGGAATCGCAGTATTTGCTTCATAGAGAGAGGTGCTTGATTTCTGTTGGTGTCAGCAATCGATATCTGACGAAAAGTTCGTCGTCATTCAATTCATTTAGAGGATCCTACCAATATTTAAGG